TTCTTTTAAGAGTTTTTTAAGTTTAGAACAATTATTTATTTTCCACACTTACTTAAAATATTACAAAAGTTACTTCACACAGCACAAAGACTGTACAAATGTAGGAAGATAATTCAGTAAATTAACAGGTCTCTGCTTATTTAGGCTTTTTTAGTCCAGATGTAACAAAATTAATGACCTCATCACCTTCATCTAACGGAGGCAGTTTGAAATATGAAAACAACCCTGAACTGGAGAAGCTCAACGCTTGCAACTATTACTGAAAGGTTAATAAAACTAGAGAAATTGCATTTCCTGCAACAATGCAGTGTGAATGCTTATTGCAAAATATTATTTTTTTCATTCAACCTTTATTTGCTGAAAAACAGCTGAAATGGAAGAACAAGCCAGAGTTGGCAGAAGAAAGAGCACATATTTGCTGAATTGGGTTTAAATAAGATATTCGCACAAAAAGTAGGAAATTAGCTAAAAAAATAAAAAAAAGCTGATATTATCAAAAAATAGCTGAAAAGTAAATGAAAAGGCAAAGAAGCTTAAACTACCAGAAGGAAGCAAATGGAACTGAAACGAGCTCAAAAAAATGTGGAATTAGCAGAAAGGGCTAAAATTAGCATAAAAACAGCTAAATAGTAGATGAAATAGCAGAAAAAGCTGAAACTAGTGATAACTATATATATATATATATATATAATGTAATTAGTAAAAGAAGTTAAGACTGTAGCAGCAGAAATTACCACAAAAAGATGGAGTTTATCTGAAAACTGCTAAAACTAGCTAAAAAGGCAGCTGAAATGGTAGAACAAGCTTAAATGAGCATAATAAAGCAGAAAGAACACGTTTGCTCAATTATACTGAAAGAAGCAGAAATGAGCACAAAAACTTGAAATTATCAGGAGAAAAAAAAAGGAAATTACGGCAGCAAAACACAGCTGAAAATCTGCTGAAAATGTAGAAAGAAGTTTAAATTACCAGAAGTGGAGTGTTGTTGTGATAAGAAAAGATGGTTTCAGCTGCTCCCTTTGTCCTCAGCTTTAAATACTCACAGGCATCGGGATCTTGGACAGGTCTTTGCCGATGCAGTTCTTCATGATGCTCCACAGGTTGAGGGAGTAGTTCGGTTTGTCCGGGATGCGCACTCGCCTCTTTTTTAGGGGCACCAAGTCCTGAGAGGGGGACTCCTGGTTCATCGCCAGAGGCTCCTCGTTGAGCTAAAAAGAAAAGCCTTCTATCAGCGTAACAGCACATAAAGACGAGAAACAACATTTTAATTAAACGCTATTCATCGACGGGACGTACAGACTGATCATCGGCGCACATTTCACTGTTGAGACCGCTGGCGTTGCTGCTCGATCTTCTGAAAGAGATTCAGAATTAAAACTAGAGAAATTACATTTCCTGCAAAAATGCAGTGTGAATGCTTATTGAACTTGCTGAAAGCAGCTGAAATTAGCAAAGAAAACATTCTGAAATGTAGCTGAAATGGAAGAACAAGCCTAAATTAGCAGAAGAAAGCAGAAAGAACACTGAATTAGGTTTAGATAGGAAGAAATGTGCACAAAAATGAGTAAATTAGCTGAAATAGCTGAAAAGTAGCTGAAAAGGCACAAAAAAGCTTAAACTACTAGAAGAATGTGGAAAGAACTAAAATGAGCGCAAAAAATGTGGATTTAGCTGAAAAAGCTAAAATTAGCATCAAAAGAGCTAAATAGAAGCTGAAAGAGCAGAAAAAAGCTGCAAGGAGCTAAATTAGCAGACATAAGTTAATTAGGCTGAAAGACGCAGAAATTAACATGAAAAACTTGAATTTAAGCGAAAACAGCGGAAATTAGCTAAAAATGCTCAAATGGAGCTGAAAAGGTAGAACAAGCTTAAATTAGCAGAAGAAAGCAGAAAGAACATGTTTGCCCAATAAGGCTGAAAGAAAAAGAAATGAGACGAAAGAAGTGGAAAGTAACTGAAAAAAGCTGAAATTAGCAACAAAAAAACTGCTGAAAACTAGCTTAAAAAAGCTGAAAGAAGCTTAAATTACCAGAAGTGGAATTTTGCTGAATTAGGCTGAAAATTTTTGAAATGAGTGCCAAAAATAAGGAAGTAGTTGGAAAAGCTAAAATGAGCATAAAAACAGCTCAATAGTAGCTGAAATAGCAGAAAAAGTTGAAACTAGCAGAAAAAAGCTGAAAGGAGCATAACAAGCTGAAATTAGCAGAAAGAAGTTAGAAGAAGCACAAAAATGTTGTAGTTAGCAGAAAGAATCTGAAAGGAGCACAAAACAGATAAAAAGCAGCTGAAATTAGCTGAACGAAGCTGAACCAGAACAAAAAGCGAAAGGAGCAGTAAAAGGTTGTAAACACATCTAAAGATATGAAGGATGTAAAATGAGCTCAGTTAATTTTCTATGAGTAAATAAAGTGGCAGAAAAGGCTAAATATTTCAAAAAGCTAAAGCTGTACAAATACCAAAACTTGTAGAAGGATTGTCCTAAAAGAGCTGAAAGTTTTGATTTATGTTTTGCTGAAATAGCACAAAAATTGTGGAAGAAGAATTAAAATGGACCACAATAGAGTGAATGCTTCATAAACATTCACACAAGTAGATCGACTGCTCAGATCCTAAACCTAGACAGATCAAAGGAAACCCATGTGACTTTAGCAAACAAGGAGTCCTAAAAACAGCGAGTTCAAAGATAAACAGGGGCTGAAAGACGACAACACTGACTTGTGGAACTGCGGGTCAGCGGGTACAGTGATGAATTCAGGAGCCTCCTCCATGGCGTCAAAAAACTCGTTTTCGTCTTCCTCGTCGCTGCCTTCGCCTTTCCCCGGCCCCACAGCACCTGAAAAAGAAAACTAAATTTATGCAGTTCAGTCATGGAGGAGGAACCATACCCACCTCGGTGGACTTCACCACCTGGTGACATTATAGAAGAGGCAACAGTTGAAAAATAGTTGGGAATTTGGAGTGACGGTGCTCTGTCCTCACATCGTGTTAATGTTTTGCCATCTAAGGTTAAAGCGAGACTTCATCTTTATAGAAAAACACTAATTATGTAAAACAATACGGTGCAACAACAGCAGCCCGAACAGTTTACATTATTAGTGTTTAGTGTATATCTTAGTGCAGGGCTATTCAACTGGCGGTCTGTGGGCCACTTCTGGTCTGCGGGTGACTTCAGTCTGGCCCACCAATGAGTTCATTAAAACAATAAATTAAATAAATCAATAAAATTGGGTGTGGGGGGGGGGTCTGGGTTTGGATTCTATTTTATTGCATTTATGATTCAATGCAATAAAACAAATATAAAATGCTCACCTTTTTTTCATCCATTTCCTCGTCAGAAAAACAATCAGCCACCTCGTTCAGAGCTATATTTCCTGTTTACAGCACGTTCTGACACTTTTTTTTGTTGTAAAAAATAAACGGCAAAACAAAGTATTTTTTGCCTAAAAAATAAAAAATAAAAAGGGGCACGAGCGCTGGCGCAGGCTAAAAATCAATTCTAGAATTTGTTTCCTACTTCCATTTTAGATTTCGCCCGTAAACACTATGTATCCGCGTGACGGCGTCAGAACGGGCGTCAGAACGGGCATCAGAGCTGATTGGTCAGTTCTGATTGGTCAGTTCTGAACGCAAGAGTGTGGGTGTCCCCAGTCAGAACACGACACTCGGTCTAAATCGTTGGCTTTAGAGAGACCATAGATGGACCCGATTGGTCAAATGGGGTGTCAATCAAAAGAGGACGACCTACACCGCCCTCGCCCTGGTATTTAAATTAGAGGCGCTCGGTAAAGCGTAGCAACTGTTTGAAGCAGAAAGGTGTCATGTTGTGACGGTCCACTAAAACAAAAAAAGCCTCACTCCTTGATCAATTACATCGGTATAATCGATCCATTTAGAATCCGTAAAAATAAAGAGGTGGAAAAAGATATTAATAACAGAGACGGGAGTTGATCAAAACTATTGCGGTCACGTACCCTTGCTGTCCACAGAGGCGTTAGCCTGCGCCGCCCCTCTGAACGCTCGCTCCAGGTGATTGTGCTGTTTAGCTAGCTGCTCCAAGGCCTCCTCCAGTCGCACCCTCTGCTCCCGCTCCGCCTGCAGCGCCTTCTGCCATCGCTTACTGTGAGCCTGCGCCAGGGCGAGGAAGTCCCTGCAGGCCTGGGAACACACGGAACATTCGTAGGACCACCGCGGACAGAAAGGCGCCAGCAGGGGGGGGGG